TTTTCTTATTTTCTCGGTAGTTAAAAAAAAAATCCTTGATAATGTTGGTAATTGTGTTTTACAACTGGTACTGAAAAAAAAATAGGCGTCGTAAGCTGTGTGAAGGCGTTTGTTTAATAAAAAACGAGGAAACTTTGTGTGTTGTTATAAAAGTGCGAAATCACGTGGCATAATAATAAAAATTTACATGGCAATCGTTTCTTCTCTTCTTTTTCTTTTTCTTTAATTATTAATGAAGAATTCAACGTATAAATTAGTGTTCCTTTTTTTTTTTTTAAAAAATAAATTTTGTTAAAATGTCGTTTGTTAAGTGATATAATATGGCTCATATACGATTAACCGTTCAAAAACCAGACGATACGGAAGTACAAGATATTACCATCGACGACGACAATAATATTATTGTCGACAGGAAAAATAAAAATGGTTGCCTTAAAAATAAGTATATACATCATTTTATTTATTTATTTATTGAAAATAATTTTTTCGTTGAGTTTGAGTTCCGCCGTCGTCTTCCTCGTCTTCGTCCATTGCGTATTATTATTATTATTATTATTATTAGGTTCGAACCTATATGCGAAAGCACGTTTTACGAATTGAAATGTTTGTTTAACAAAAATTTTTTTTTTTTGAATGTTATGTAACACCCGACACATTTATTTATTACACATTTTTTTTTTTTTAAATAAAACGTATCCGAGATGATAATAATAATAATGATTTAATTTCGAAAATGTTTGATATTATTATTAATATTATTATTAAGAAAAAAAAATTGGTGAGTTTTAATTTCAAAATGGCGGTTTTACTGTTTTTTTTTTTTTTTTTCATTCAGTGACGTCAATCGGTTTAACACCGTCAGGTATAAAAACAAAAAAAAAAAAAAAAAAAAAATTTCATACCGGTTGCGATTAAATCCCATGAAAAAAAATTATTATTATTATTATTATTATTAAAAACGGTTCGATTGAAATTTAATAAAAGGATTTAAATTTCGTATTAAATAATTTGTGGGTTTTTAATTTGTCGCATTAACCCATTCAAGGGAATAATATAATTTTTTTTAAAGATTTTAAAAATGGCCGACAATGTGTTAAAAAGTACATGAATGTTTTTTTTGATTGAATGAAAATTGTCCCGAGTAAACACAGCCGCCTCCTGGATGAAATTGTGAAGGAATGTTTAGTGAAAATGTGGCGTCAAAAAAGTTTTTCTTTTTCCAGTTTGTTACAAAAAGCTGTGGTCGAAGAGATTAAAGACAACGTCATACCATCGCTGTCGGTCAGGAGAGGGAGTACGGCAAATTTACAACCCAATTCGAATAACGTTCAATTGAGAAAATTCAGTTTTCCGACAGCGTTGCCATCGAATTTTTTAGGTCTCGAATCGACGGCCAAAAGAAGATTCAGCAGCGTGTCCGATGCAGTCACGAGAAAATTATCGAGCACCATAGGATGGAAAAATGGTCAAAAACAATGTCAGGAAATTGTTCTCGTTGGTAAAAGTCTTTGCAGTCAATACATTCGTAGCAGACTCAAACGTTCGGGATTTTTAAATAAAAAATGCAGTTTGCAAAGAGTTCGTAGTGCCGTCAACATCGGTGGTTTAGTTTTTCGCGAAGTGTATCCGGAATTGTTAGGCCTGGGGGTCGAATTGGAAAGGTTGCATCCCAAAGTGTACGTAAACATAATAAGGCAAGCTTGTTCCATACCGGGAGGAAGGCTAACGTCTGAAAAAGAAGTTGGAGTCATATTAACGACAATATCTAGAGAGCTTTTGAAAAACGTAAGATTTACTTACTCACTTATTTTTTTTTCAATGTAAATGTTTCAGTTAACGTTCCTCCATGGATAAACAACAATAACAACAACAACGTTCGAAATTATTATTATTATTATAATTATTTTAATTTATGAATCATTACATAATAATAATAATTGTTTATTACTACCGACGGTAATATTCGTGGGTAACAATTTGAATTTTTCGACCTTTCGACCATTTGTTAAATTTACATGTACTTGAACAATATGGAAAAAAAAACAAAACCGTTCATTATTATTATTATAATTTACCTGTCTGTTATTTTAATTATTATTAATAATACGACCGGAAATAGTTTTTTACACAAATTACAAAAAAAAATGAAATCACGAATTCGAATAATTAACATTAATTAATTGTATTAATTGTAATATCCTATCGTTTTGACAATTTACAAATATTACAATAACAAACAACGCCATAGAGTGTTAGATGTTTTTGGCGGGAAAATTTTTTTTTATTCGTTCCACGACTTTTTCTTTTTTCACGGGGCCCCGTGTAATGACGTAATACATTTTACCGCTCTTTTTGTATTGTTTTTTTTTCTCTCTTACTTCAGTTCAGAAGAAGATGAGAATTGAATCGGTTAAAAAAAAAAAAAAAAAAAAAAATTGAAACGAATGAAATTAAAATAACGGATAAAAATAATGGCGTTTAGTTTATTTAAAGGAATTAACGTGGGGAAAAGTCGTGTCACTTTATGCTGTTGCGGGTGGTTTGGCTGTCGATTGCGTCAAACAGGGACATTACGATTATTTAAAATGCATTGTCGAAGCAATGGAAGAAATATTAGAAGATGATTTAGCACATTGGATTCAATGCAAGGGAGGCTGGGTATGAATCATTTTTATTATTATTATTATTATTATCCTACTTGTGATTTAATTAAAACGTGATCATCATCACATCCCGATTCGAATTTTTCACACGTTTTTCCCTTTTTTCTCAGATGGCTTTGGCATCTTTGGTCAAACCTCCAACTTCAAAATGGCCATCGGCAAAAGTTTTTATATTCATATCATCGTTTTTTATCATTGCCGTCCTTATCGTATTCATATTCAGTCTTTTTGGAATATCTGCTTTTATTTAATTATTCAAATTTTTTTTTTTCTTTTTACATTGCATTTACCAAAGGTTTGTCGGACATGTTTTGTTTTTCCAATGTTCCTAATTTTGTTTTTAAAAAAAAAAAGGAAAAAATTAAAAGACTGAAAAGGTTTTTAATGAAGTTTTTATATATACAGTGAGAATAACAAAATATAATTTAAAATTATTGAAATTTGTAAATTATGATAATTAATTATGTTTTTTATTATTTATTTATTAATCCTCGATTGATCTCAAATATTATTTGTATTATCAGATGCTATTACTTAACAAAATCAAATTCGAAAATTATTATTTTTATTATTATTATTATTATTTTTATATTAACAATAAAATAAAAACTTCTTTTAGTAATAATCTTGTTAGATTCTTATTCTATTATTATTTTTAACAAAAATAGTAACGCGCCTAAAAAATTTGTTGTCATAAGTTAAACATATAAAATAATTTTTGCCTTAATTTATTAAAATCCGACTTTTTTTTTTTTTTTCTAAATTTATTAAATGACCTTTTTTTCTATAATTATCTTTTGGATTTAGTCATTCTTTTAACAATCCCAAAAAACCTACGTCGTTCAAACGATGTAAATCAATCACATTTTAATTATTCTTTAATATAAATAATAATAATAATGATAAAACATGCGGGAAAGGAAACAATTATAAAATAATCTCATATTTATTCTTAAATCGTGTGTATTTTTTTTATTTATTATTATTATTGATGATGTAGAAAATTAAATTATATTTTATGCTTTTCGACAGCCGGTTCAAAAAAAAAAAAAAAGTGACAAAAAGAATAATATAAATAAATAAATAAAAAAAAAAAAAAAACAGGAAAACTTTTCTGAGATGTTTAACACTTATACTGTTGTGATGATAACACTCATCATATAAAAAGAATTAAATCCTTTAAATTACATTCAAAATAAATCATATAATGCAATACTGTGTTAATATTTGTTAAAATTACTCGTTAATAATAATTAAAAAAAAAATACAATACTTATTAAAATAAATTGAGAAAAACCTCAGAAATAAATTTTATTTACAATAATTATTGAATTTCCCCCCCGCCCCGCCCCCCATTTTTTTTTTTACTTCTTCTATTAAAATCATAAAAAAATTTTTTTTTTTTGGAAAAAATCGAGTAAAAAAAAAAAAAAACTAAAAAAGAAAAAAAAAATTATACGCTCAAAATATTATTGTTGAACTTTTTTTTTTTTTTTTTTTTCATTGCATTATATTTTTTGTTTAATGAAAATTCGATTTGTCACTTTTTTTTAAAAAAGAAAAAAAAAATTTCCTAAAATTTTTCTTCTTTTAGGCCATGTTTGAAAAACATCATAACTGGAACACTGTCTCCATCGATTTCTCTGTATTCCATAAGTCCGACCATTCCATCGATATCCATAGATTCTCCGGTGAAAAATTGAAGTTCTTTAAACCTTCCTAATATATCCTTCATTACTTTATTCATATTTGTTTTGAATACTTCTACTTCATCCGGTTTGGTTTCTTCAAGTTTAGCTACTAACCTATTAATAAATAAATAAATAAATAAAATCATTAAAACCTGATGTAAATCGATAGACATTTTGTAACAATACTTGTTGGGGGGGGGGGGGTCTTTTACTTGAACAATCACTCTTACAAAATTTTATTATTAGGGGTGCCTGGGTCATGTGACACAACTATATACAAAACATTTCACTTACTTTTTCATATAATCCTTCAAATATGCTGTGTAAGATTTTTTATCCCCGAAAGCATATGTTTCGCATAATCTGTGATTTAGTACAATGTCGACACCAGATTCAACAGCTTCATCTGTTCCTTCATCAGCTTCTTCTGCCGATGGATTAGCTCCATCAAGTTGTACATCATTTAATTTTCTACTAACAAGCTACAAAAAAAAAAAAAAATTTAGCAAAATAACTTATGATTATTTACCATATTTATGTATGCTGAATTTTAATTACAAATAATTAATGAATTATTTTTTTTGAAATCGGCAATTTTTCTTGCATTGTTTTACTACCACAGAAATTTAAATAACTTCCATGGTTATTAGTACATGCTTTAAAATAATAATAATAATAATGTCATGACTTACTTTACCAGTAACCTCATACAAGACTTCATCAACTAATTTTATCTTGTAGGTGTCAGAAAACATTTCATCACCTGTAAATAATAATATATTACAAATGCATAATGAAATTTAAAAAAAATAATAATAATAATATTAGTGATTTACAATAAGTTGTGCAAAAGTGAGTCACACTCAGTTATTTACATCATATTTCTAAAACCTTAGTTATTATTTTTATTTATTCCAGGTTTTTAACTGAGTGACATTTTCAAATTCGACCAAAACATGATATTACTTTGTTATAAGCTTTTGTAAGCAATGAAATTTGCTGCGTAAGTCATTCAGAAAACCCAGTCAATTTTATTATTTAAAAAAATATGCTTAAGTAATCGAAAAATGTCATAACCAAATAATGACAGTCTAAAATTTTTTAAAGTTATTTTTATTAAATCGAACCGTATCAAAAATTTAATTATTAATAATAAAATTTAAAAAATTATATTATTTAACTCACCTGTAAAAATGTCTTGGTAAATTTTCATTTTGATAGATTAAAACGATTTTTTTTTGTAATAAAAAAAAAAATGGTTCGTCTATTACCCTGTTGAGCGAACCGAAAGAATTCTTTCAGGGCCTCCACGTCACTCTTATTATTATCAGAAAAAAAATTGTTATTGTTAAAAGAAGGCTGTGAAACCTTGAAAATTACCTTCAAATCTATTTCTTAAATTTTTATACTTCCTTATTATTGAATTTTAACAATAATCTTCCTAAATTTAAGTTTAAATACATTAATAATAAAAATTTTATTACTTTATTCAAAATTTTCGTAGCTTTTTCTACTTTAAAATATGTATTTTTAATACTTTTTAATATGAAAACTATTAAAATATTAGACTCAAATTTTTGTAACTGTAGTTCAAAATGATGATGCTGTAAAACTATCATCTTAGTTTTGTATTATTTCAAATATTATTTATAATACCCAAAAATGACTAACAATTAGTAATTGTCTTTGTTAATTCTAATTTTAATTGTAAATCATTGAAAGCAATTACCTATTTTAAATAATTAGTTTATTATTATTATTTTTAAAAATTTATATCGACATCAAATTTAATTTCTTAATAAAAATCTGAAAAAATCAGTGAGCTAAATGAGCAATTGTAAATGTAATTATCAAACTTCTTCAGTCTATCAAACTCTCGATGAACTTGATTTTGAAAGGGGTATTTGGTATGCTGGTAAGAGTAAAAATTAAAAAAATTAATTATCTCAAATAATAAAGGTTATAAAATGTAGAATTTATTGATGTTGTATTGCAGCGCAAAATAATGACTTAACTAGAGTTAAATATTTATTAAAAAAAGACAATAATGTTAATGTAGCAGACAATTTCGGATACACTCCCTTGCATTATGCAAGTAGAAATGGACACATGGAAATGTGCGAGTTGCTAATTAAAAATGGTGCCGATGTTAATGCTTTAACAAAATTTGGAAAAGTTTCTGCATTGCACAGGTTTGCTTATTACAAAGTGTTAATTTCTTTAAATGTTAATTTTAATTATTTTTAAAAGAAAATAATTTTACAGATGTTCATCACAAGGTTATTTAGAAATTTTCAAATTGCTTCTTAAGTCTGGTGCAATTATCGGACTGAGAGATGACGATGGTAAAACAGTTCTTCATAGAGCTGTTGAGAGTAATCATGTAAATATTGTAAATGAAATTTTAAAAATAGATCCTTCATTAAAACAAGTACCTGATAATAAAGGAAAATTACCAAATGAAATTGAAAATATTTCTGAAGAGGTTTTAAATGTTTTAAATAAATTTTAAAAATAATTAAAAAAAATGTTTTGTTTATTTAAAAAAAAAAAAAAACTTTTTATAACATACATTTTTATCAGTAAAAAAAATCCATTTAATTATCAATACTTGTAAGTATCGATTTATGTAAAGATATCACTTTTATTGAAACTTTGCCTTAACTAAAGGTAAATTATTTTGTATTTGTTTGTTTTTATCTTTTACAATTGTTTACAGTAAAAATGTGTGCTTGGTAAAAAAAAAAAACTGGTAAGAAATAATCACTTTTCATCTGGAACTAAATTTGCTAACATACTAGAATAATCTTTTATTGTTTTAATAGAAACATCGTCACTATTAGATTTTGAATCATATTCTTTACCAACTGACCAGAGTGTTTCTAAATCATAATATTCCCTAGCTGACTGCTCAAAAACATGAAGAATTATATTCCCAATATCTAAAGCCATCCAGTCTTGCGATCCTTTTCCTTCAATTGTAGGTACTCTATCTGTTGAACCCATCTTTTTTTTATACAATTTTAAAACATATTCTGTGAGTGCAGACATGTGTCTGGCAGAACGAGCAGTAACTATTGTTAGGTAATCAGCATATTGATATTCTGGAGGAACAGACACGACAAATATATCTTCAGCTTTTTCTTTTCTTAATACCTCTACAAGTTCTTCAATATCGAAAACTCCTTTAATACCTCCTAAAAATGAATGATTTTTTTAAAGTAAATAAAATCGAAACTACATCATAAATTTTTTAATGTACTATGTTTACTTTCAAGATTCATTTCGTCAAATTTAACGTAGCGTTTTTCCACAATTGATTCATCGATTTTTTTTTGTTCTTCTTCTACATCTAGAATAATAGGAGCATCATCTTCTGAAAATTTCTCATACCTGGAAGAAATACCGCCAGGCAATTCATTTGCAAAATTTTTGGACTCGGAGTTTTTATATCGGACGTGATTAGAAGGTAAAATTTTTAAATTATTTAATATTATTTTTTTATTAGCACCTAAAATAGTTTTCGGCAAAATTTGCAATACATTTTTAAAATTAGAAAACATTTTTGTTTTCAATTCTCAGCTGATTTTGCGGTGGTTTAAAGATATTTTAATTGTATTTTTGCTATTGGTAAAATTGTTTTTAATCTCAAGTGGTGTCATTATCCTTTGATGTGATTGTTTCAATAATAATCGAGGCCAAATTTTATTTTATTATATTTTATTTTTTTGTCCACGACTCTGAAAAACACAACATCCAGAAAGGATGACAATGGGCGATGAAACACCAGTTTCCTCTTTAGTTCTTCCAGTTCTATTGCGACCTATTTTATCACAGGTAGAATTACTATTGTGTAATTAATACCTTATACCTAATACATTTTATTTTTAAAAAATTTGTTGCTTCCTTTTGTTGTTCGTTGCTTCCTTTGTAAAAAAAAATATAAATATAATTATGTACATTGTTTATTTTAGATGGAGAGAAAAGATGTGGCTGCTACTCAAACTCTCAGATCTGCCATATCCAAAGTAGAAACTACTTATCCAGGTTTTATGTATGATTTAATTCTTGGAATTATGAAAAGAGGAGATTTAGTTGTTAATATGAACGAAAGTGTACTCAGACTTCAGGGTTCTATATCTGATTCAGATGGTGAGTTATAAAATAAAGTTTATCGTAAAAAACAAAAAACTAAATTTCGAATGAATAAAAGAACAAAAACATCTTAACACCTAAATATTTTTTGCATTTATTAGTTAAATTTTCTTCTTTCTCAGTTAAACAGGCATTATTTTATTTGCAACAGTTATTTCTTTTTTATTGTATTTTATAATAAATTTCTGTTAAAAAATATCTTTTAAATGGCCTTGAAAAATATATATATATCGATCTTAAAAATTATTTATTTTATCTATTTAAAAACTATTTCTTTGTTTAAAAAAAATAGAAATTAATACTATTATCTAGAAGGATATGTTTCAACATGTTTGATAAGATTTATATGTATACAAAATGACACTTAATGTTATATGAATTGTGCAAATCTTATATTTAGCGAAAAATTCGAAAAAATTTTATGTTTCGATATTCATTTATACTTTATTACAATTGAAAAATGTTACATCATTTGTTTTAGTCGTTGAGTACAGATTAACTCGTTCTGAAGATGCATTTCAAGAATTAAATAAAAAATCATCATCTTTAAAAAAAATTTTAAGTAGAATACCAGATGAGATCACAGATAGGAAAACATTTTTGGAGACGATTAAGTAAATTATTTTTCCTTATTTTATTTATTTATTTGTAATTAAAAAAAAAAAATAGAAATTTTGAAGTTAGTGTAAACTTGATTGAAGACTTCATTCGTATAAATATTACAGGGAAATAGCTAGTGCAATAAAAAAATTATTGGATGCTGTGAGCGAAGTATCTGCTTACATACCAGGTTCGACTGGAAAGCAAGCATTGGAACAAAGGAAAAGAGAATTTGTTAAGTTTTCCAAAAGGTTTAGCAACACATTAAAGGAATATTTTAAAGAAGGACAGTTAGTATTCGAATAAATAATTAATAACTTACACAATAAGTCCAATTTTATTGCACATTTTTTAATTTGACCTTTTTTTTTGTTTTTTTTTTTTTTTAGAGCTAATGCAGTTTTTGTAAGTGCTTTGTACTTAATTCAACAAACAAATCAGATTATGATCGCAGTCAAAAACAAATGTGAATAGTGAGAAAAATTTTTAATTCATTATTTTTAAGAAAAACAACAACCGATTATTCTTCGAGTACTTATAATTAATCGTTAATCATTCGACATATTTGTTTGTTACAATACATTATTATTGCCTATTAAAATATTTGCCAAAGGAAAATACAAAATACATTTTAAAACTTATATTATTCTTTTCTTTCGA